AAATGGATGAAGTAGCGGTGAAATGCCATCTTTACAGAATATATGAAGCATAGCATCTAGTGATATTAATTTTTTATTATAGATCTCAACTATTCAACTATATTCAGATCCGTTAAGTGGTTGTAAAAGAAAAAGTACAAAAGCACTTAATGATTAAGATTCAAATCTAAAAACACACACACATAATGGTTGACTTAGATCTAAAGGATTAAGACTTGATTAGACCTTCAGTAGCTGCAAACGAGGCTTAAGAACAATTATATAATCTTGTTATTTGTTTTATGTGATGGTTCAAGAGCCTTTAAATGCTCATTCATGTCTGCAATCCTCTCCGCCCTCTCTTCTTTTGGGTTTTAAGCTGGTTAGGGCTTGTGTTTTGCAAATTATAGTGCTTTGATTTCCTTCATACTGCAGGTTCACATGCACATAGCAGATCTACCCTTGAAGTCCCTATCTTTTGGTTTATTCATAGTGATCCCTTGTTAGTTGACAAGCATTATCAAGCCAAAGCGCTTTCCGATATGGTCATTGTGGTGCAGTCAGAAGAGCCATCATGGGAGAGTCATTTGCAGTGTAATGGGCGGTCTCTCCTGTGGGATTTAAGGTTATTATTTTAATGCTTTTAAGATGAGTTTGGATTAAATATTGCAACTTATTACATACATTTTCTTTTTTATTCATTTACCTTTAAGAATTTGTAAAAGCTTTTACTTTTAGATGCTGTAGGCTTATATTTTGCTAGTTTTTTTTACAGAAAATAAGCTAGTGGGCTTCTAGAGATGTTCTGTAGTTCCTCACTTGAAACTAAGCACATATTATGGGCTGAAAATGATAAGGAAATTTGTTGGTGGAAAGATCTGAGTGGTGATGGCCTAGCAAGCATGCAAAATATGGAAGGTGAAAGTGATAATTTTGATGAAAAGAGGAAAAAAATAATAATAGCTCTAGAGCACTACTCCTTGAGCCCTTAGGGATTACATGAGAAGGTAGAATTGCATGGCTTCGTGATAAAGCATTCTTGTTTAAGAAAATTAAGCATAAGCATGGTTTTATTCTTGATTCCCTGACCCATTCTACTTCATAAAGGATTTCACATACCGACTAGAGATGAACTTTATTATGTACGGTCTTTAGTCCGAGCAAACACAAATGACCGACTATGACTAAACTTCACAAGGTTAAAAGTTGCTATTTCTGATGAGATCTTCTGATTGAAATTTAAGGTAATGGGAGAGAAGGCATGCGACAGATAACTAAGTTAAGCTACAGACTGGGTTCTACCTTCTAAAAAAAAAGAAGCTATAGACTGGGTTCTCACTATACGCCGGTACCTGCTTAATGCGGGTACATTTTCTTTATTTTGAAATTGGGAGGTAGAAAATAAAGTACTTCTAATAAGACTCCAGCTATGTTAAAGTTCCTTTTTTTGGTGGTTGGGGGTGGGGGGTGGGGGGTTGAATTGTTGCAGGAGTTTCTCTCTGTAACTCTTTTATCTTTAGTAATCTTGTGCAATGCATCATGCATATTTTCTCTTATCACATGTCAAGACTGAAGCATTACTCATGACACTCGTATTACTATAATCAGCTCATCTTTGATCTCAATAGATCGATTCCACCTAACTACTTGGGTCGGCTATATATATCCTCTCCATCAATTCCTCTTCATTCAGGTCAATTTCATTCCAACATTAGTAGAAAAATTTCTTTTAAAGCAAACAAGGTATTCTCTAAGACTACATTTCCTGACTCTCACACTTATCTTGACACTAACATACGGTCTTTAGTTAGACATAAAAGGCTCGTGGAAAATACTAGACCTAATATAGGCATACAACAACAATAAACTCTTAATACTCAATGGTTTCACATGTATGGATTCCTTTCCTTGTATTGTGTTCTTAGTTAATTCCGGGTTGATTTAGAGATACAGTTGATCTTTTGAATTTGAGACAACTTACCTCCATGTGATTTCAGGTTTGTTGTTCTTTCTTTAGCTTACCTGAATTCTCATCTCAAAAGAACTCTATTTTGAGTGGGATTTGATGGTTTTTTAAGATATTGTGGAAATGGACAATGCTGATCTGGCATTTGCTTTCTCATCTGTTATACAGGAAGCCTGTTAAAGCTGCTTTGGCTGCCGTGTCAGAACATCTAGCAGGAATGCTTCCCCTTCATCTTGTTTATAGTCAAGCCCATGAAACTGCAATTGAGGTATTGGAAGACATGAATGTGAATCTTACAATGATCTCACTCTGACAATAGAGACTTGTAACTTATTTAGGTTAGGTGTCTATAGACTTGTAACCTGAAAGTTTCTAATTTCTTGCATGTAATTAACTTCTTCTGAGGGCTTGCTAACTTCTTGAGCGTCTCATGCACTTCTCCTCTGCAATTTTTTTCTTCTTGCTTGACAAATTATTTCTTTTGGTAGTGAGGTAGGATAAGCTCTCCATAAACAAGAACACTATTCAAGAGAAATTTTTTTCTCTTTGCCTCCTTGGAACCCAACTTTTAAGATCTAAGAAGTTTGTCATACTTTTATGTTTCTAATTATTTTCTTAATTTGTTTCATTCTTGTGAGAGACCAATAGATTTTAGTGAATGCTTTCTTCTACTTGTGATTCTGTTGAAGCTTATATGTGACTTCCATTAAATTAATATTTCTGTGTCATTTCCAGGTACCCCTTCCAAAGAATGTATTAATAAAAATGCAATAAAAATAATAAGAGAATACTTCATACTCTTGTATGTGTTACTGTACTTGATGCTTTTCCTTGAGACAGAAGTGATAACATGTGTCTGGTTTAACGTGTTACATTGAGATAAAACGCTGGTAATTTAAGTCTGGTTTCTCCAAGTCACCTCTGTTCGTCTCATTACACTTTAAACAGGACTGGATCTGGTCAGTTGGATGCAATCCTCTATCCATCACTTCCCAAGGCTGGCATATCTCCAAATTCCATTCAGACACTGTTGCTCGAAGCTATGTATTGACAGCACTTGAAGAGTCTGTTCAATTGGTCAATTCGGCTATTCATCGCCTTGTTATGGAGCGGACATGTATCCTTTATGAATGTTCTACTTTCATAACTACAAGTAAAAGATTGTTTTGATTGCACAATTTGTCACTTTTGTGAGTTGTCTAATTGAATATATTTCCTGAGAAGGTTTTGCAAGTTGTCTTCAGCAGAGTGCATAAAAGATTTATTTCTCTGTTTGAATGCTGACTGTCATTGCGAATACTTCTTTGGTATTAGCCGTCTCATGACATGGGACTTATCTCAATATTTGAATATGGAAATGTCTGTCTAAAATTTCCAGTTGGTCAATAGGTCCTTTGGGTTAATAGATTTTAGCGCTTCTTTTTTGTTGGTCTGGATAGTGGACCACTAGTTTCATACTTTCTTCATTAGTTGCTGATGTTTTTTCATATAAGTTTGGTAATTGGGCTGTTATCAGATTTTCTCCGTGGATCCTTAATCTGGAACAGCAGAACAGACTTTTAAGCTCTTTAAAACCCACGAGCGCGAGTTGGTGAACAAATACAACTATGTTGTTAGCTTGTGGAGAAGAGTAAGTTCTTTACAGTTTTCACCAATCCTTAAATAAGTACACAAATATTTTTGCCAAACACTTGTTACACTATCTTTTTTCCAGATAAATAACGCTTGGTGCATTATCATTTTAAGCTTGATAGAATGATTTGTTTCTTATTTCAATCTAATTGATCTGCATGAAACATTTCCTGACCAATTTATTCCATGTTATGGGTCCCTCGCAGATTTCAACTGTCAGTGGGGAACTGCGTTATCTGGATGCCTTGAGACTTCTCTATACCTTAGAGGATGCATCAAAAGGGTTAGCATCTGACATTTGTTATGTTGCTGATATTGTGAAAATCATCACTAGACACCCTTATTGTTGGTGTTGCACTTTTACATGTGCAACCAATTTGAGATAATAGAATACGGTCTTTCACTGCATTTAGAAGTGTTAAGCAACTTCCATTTGGCATCCAAAAGTTCTTCCCATTTCACTGTAACATGTGTTTAATAAATTTGTTTGCTAAAAGTCTCCTCCTATGCAGGTTTGTAAATTATGTCGATACAACTCTAGCAAGTCTCCATCCAGTACATTGCACCCGTCGAAGAGAAGTTAAGGTCGAGTTTGACATGACAACAATACCTGCTTTCCTCGTTGTTTTCTTCGTTCTTTGGTTTGTGCTAAAGCCTAGAAGAGCCAAGCCCAAGATCAACTGAGAGTTTCGTGGTTGGCATGCCTTGAAAATGCGTGTTAAACTTAGTTTCCTCAAGCATGATTTCCCCTGCTGGGGAACTCTGTTGAGCCAATAGAGCTGTCTTACGCAACACTGGACTAGAAAGCATAGGCAAGATAGGTAGAATAGCTAGGTCAAAATCATAGTGTCTTTGCTTTGTAAATTTTCACCTCCCAGTATTATTACAGCTGAGATTTTGCTCGGGATCATCAAGTCTTATTTTTTCTTGTTAGTAACTATTGTAATTGTGCTCAGTGCATGCCTTAATACTGTGTACATCTCAACAAATGATATCATTGGTTACAATTTACAATAGCAATGTGAACTTTACTCCATTTAAGATGATAGCAAAGGCTGCCTGATGCAGTCCATGTTGGCTCCTAAGAAGAGCCCTTAATGTAACTGGAGGAAAATACTCACCATTCTTTGCTTTTGGGTAAAATTAACTAGTTAATGCAGTTTATCAGTGTCCACTTTTTCCTATGTCCTATTTGATAATTTCTTAAATTGTTAGAGTACATGGATTGAACTCTCCGGATTCAGTCTTACACGTCTCTCTTGAACGTTTATTGTTCCCATTTGATAATGTTATTTCAGCCATAGCTAATCTAGATTTTTTTTCAGTTCCCAGTGATAGAAAAAGAAGGTTCAAAGATATTGAGTCTACGATAAGTAACCGTAGCTTTCCTTGTTTGGATATTTGTTTTTCCAACTAATAATACTAAACAGATTTAACTTCTATACATTGATAAGATAACATCTTACATGATTAACGAAATTTGAGGTTGGAACATGATACTGTAAATAGTACCAACATGACTTAGAGAGCTGTGTCTTCAATAGATTTCCCTCCAATGTGGAGAACACATTAACATAACATAGTAATTGGTATACGATTTCCTATACAGAGACATGATCAACAAGCTCACGCCCCTTGGTCTCAACTGGAAAGAGCAGAACACTAATTGCTGATAAAATAACAACCACTTCAAATAAAATGATTGCAGCCATCTGGTGGCAACCTCTAACCAATTGCACTGCAACTATAGGAGAGACCATCCCTGCAATTCTCCCCACAGCACTTGCAACTCCACAACCAGTTGATCTAACTGAGGTTGGATAAATCTGCAGAAAATAGATCAAAATGACACTTAGGCCTCCTAACATAAAATTCTGTCATTTGTCTGAAGAGTTTGTTCCAATCTACAACTTTAGATGGGAATTTACTAAAATGTCAGATTAAATGTTTAAAACCTTTATATTCATACTTCAAACAAGGCTATGACAGGAGTAGCTTGATCCTCTCACCCTACCAAAGGTTCCTCAGCCATCAAAGAAGAACAGGTAGAACAGGCCAAGAGAACCTCAAAGCTAAAAGAGCTTGGAAATTGGACTAATCTACGTTTATTCCTCATTACAACCTGAAAACTCAATGTATTTACCTGAAGAAGATCCACTATGATATTGATAGTTTATTTATATATAAAAAGGCAAATGGTTCTTAAATTGTGACAAAATTGCTAAAACTGATCAGCTTTAGTAACCATGTTCAGTCTTCTCTTTAGAACTCTATGCTAATACAATCAAGTATCTGTAAAATACGTGCAACAGCTTCAATAAACAAGGGAGCCAGCCCTAATGTCCTAAAATCAATTCGGTTTGCAAGTCAATACACCCATAAAAAAAAAGTCGATGCGCATAAAGATTCATCCAGTAAACAGTTTGAGATTCCCAGTAATGAACATAAATGTTGTTTGCCACGTCAAACAAATAAAACACAGTTCCAGTGGAAAAAAAAAACTCTTACAAAGTCAAACTTTTAATATGTGAAAGGTAGAAGTTCAAAATTCTCTGTTCAATTGAATACATGAAACACAAGGAATATCTATCTATCAAGTTTAGACTGGTAGGGATCAAAATAAGTTGACATGTCAAGACATTGAACAAGTCAGAACAATGAAGCTAAGAAAGATAGAAGGTAAAGAGTGACACTCACCTCTGGACAATAAACACCAGCAAGGGTGAAGGTCCCTATGAACCAGATACGAGCTCCAAATAGCAATGCTGTTGTTAATGCCTCATTCTGAGGTACAACAAGCGGAAAAAGGAATAGGGACCCGAAGATATACATCAGTGCCATTGAATATTTCCGACCAACTTTCTCCACCACTACAGCTGAAATAAGAAGCCCAGGAAGCTCTGGAAGACAAAGAATAACTTAGATTTACAAATTGTAATTAAGTCTAATGGGAGCTGAGATGAAATAATTGAATCGCAATTTGACACAAGAAAATGAAAGAAAAAGTACCAGCAAGGCTAGTGATGAACACGTCTGTATAGAGGCTTGAATCATTTTTCACATGCAAAGCAACTGAGAAGCATCTATTTTCCCCAGCACTAAACTGTGATGTCAGCAATATAATGCCATAATAGGCAAATGAATTTCCAAAATAAACCACCCACATGAGGAGGGTAATTCGTAGTAATTGTGGGGATAAAAGCATCAGGGATGAAGACAATCCTGTCTTAAAATTGAAGATTTTGTTGGCTCTCGGCCTAAGCAATTTCTGTTCCTCATCCAGCTCTATCACTTGATCAGAAACAAGCATCCCAGGGGGAAGTTTTGTCTGATTAACAACAGCTATTTTCCTCAAAATATCATGTGCATCAGTTATTCTACCTTCGGCACATAGATATCTAGGAGACTCTACAGTAAAAATGTACAAGAGAAAAGCTGCAAATGATGGTATAGACGATAAAGCCAATAACCATCTCCAACCTAGTCTTGGCATGATAATCTGCAAGAAATACCAAGCAAGTTGCACTAAGTTTTTCAAATATTACAAATATAGTAAGATATAGACTCTTCTTTGTTTTCATTTTTTTCATTAATTACTAACTGTTTGGGAGCACTACAAACTGTCAACAATAAAAAACTACAGAAAATGATATCCGATGAAGTGATAATAATCAAGTAAGACAATTCTTAGTTATAACCTAATCATTCTCTACTGAAGACTACATAACCACAAAATGTGTGGGAGCAAGTGACCAAGCACAGCTTATCTGGTTCATCACCTTCTATGCACTTACAGTCGTCTATGTTCTGGTTCAGCTCCTCGAATTCTAGGGCAGTCAGACCAATTTAGGAGAATTGTTCTATGTTTTCTGGGGTGAAACTTTTCTAACCCCCCCCCCCTCCCTCCCTCCCCATGTTGTTTCTTTGAATTAAGTTCTATTTGGGATTTGAGACCTGCCTTTTCTTTAGGGGTATAGACGATGAAGCCAATAGTTCATTGGTGACACATAGGTGTTTAGTCCTATTGAGACAATAGAACAATTTAACTAGAAGTTTTTAGAGAACTCCAAAACTTCTAGTTAAATTGTTCTGTTGTCTCAATAGGACTAAACACCTATCTATCACCAATGAATCACGGTTATTGGCCGCACTCTCAAAGAAGAACTGAAATTACAGATATAAGTAGAACCGTTAATAGAAAATACTTCAAATAAATCAAAGATGAAAGAAGTGAAATGCATGTACCATGTATATATAAATGTGTGTATATCAATGTTACCTTTCTCAAAAAAAAAAAAAAAAGTGTGTATATCTCATTTGTTTAAGCAAACCCTTCAAAAAAATGCAATCAGGTATTGACAAGTTATTGTTTTATATGGATAGTCTTTGAAAGCAAAGAGTTCCATTCAGAATGTGCTTATACCTTGGTTCCAAAATCTCTTAAATCTTACTTGACACATGGATATTAATGGTTAAGTATCAATGAGGCACCGCAAAGGCGTACTGTCAATTATTCATATTTAGAAGAAGATGAAAATTAACAGTGGAAAGAAATCAGACTTTTGTGACTCGAGATTGTTCCTTTTTCCTGTTATTCTCTGTTTAGCTTCTATTGACTTCCACAGAGTATTAGATGAGTCACACGATCATCCTATTCCTATTTCACTGATTAAAAAGAGAGATGTTTATTCCACTTTATACTTTGGAGAAGTTTAATATTCACTTTATTATGCACAAATTGGATCTTATTCACGTATAAACGTTTTCCTACATACATTTGAGAGTCGTTACTGAGACATCTTAATCTAAGACATTGTCTATACATGAAGGATCTGCCACATACAGATGATAGGCCTGTAGTCATTTTGGAGGTCTGTACATATATATAGCGGAAAGTAACAAGATGGGTCCTAAGACCTGCTATTCCATCCTAATTGAAGCTCATCTGAGCACAAGTTCAGCTTGTATCTATTACATCTTGTCTTCTTTTGCAGCAAAGCATATTTTCACTAATCTTGCTCCTCCTCTACACGAACGCCATTATTTTTTATGGGAGTAACTCCTTCATGTTGTCTGCTCTTATTTGCAAGCTAGAATCACATTTTGCTATGAAAGACTTGGGGCCCCTGATTTTTTCCCTCGGCGTGCAGTTCATCATGACAAGGATGGCCTTTTTCTTAGTCAGCAAAGTATGCTACTTCCATACTTCAACGCACAAAATATTCCAGCTGCTCGGGCTCATCCCACTCCCCTAAAAAAAGCATCAGCTTCATGGCTTGGGTGGTACCCCAGTTGATCCCTACGAATATTACAGCATTGTTGATGCACTTCTGTGCCAAACATTGACTCGACCAGAAATCTCCCATGCAGTGAACTTGTTTTGCCATTCATGCAGTGAACTTGTTTTCCCATTCATGCAGTGAACTTGTTTTGCCATTTAAGCAGCATCTTACTTCGCTACATTGTTGGAACTTCACACCTAAGCCTGCGCATTTCTGCTCAATCCTCTCTTAACTTGGTCGGCTTCTCTGATGCAGATTGGGCTGGTTGTCCCATCATTAGGCACTCTACTACTGGCATTTGTGTTTTCTCTGGTAATCAAAGAAGCAACACAGTGTAGCCAAGTCAAGTGCCAAAGCTGAATATCGCTCGTTGGTCTCTTTAGCTGCCGACTTAACTTGGATCAGTTACTTATTGTGAGACATTGGCATTTCCCTGCCTCAACCCCCCATGTTGTTCACATACAGCATTAGTGCCTTGCATGTATCAGCTAATCCAGTGTTGCACACTCGTATGAAGCATGTCGAGCTTGATTACCATTTTATCCGCGAGAAAGTTATCTAGGGAGCTATGGTGATCAAGTTTGTTCAGTTGCATCAGCACATTGCCAACATTTTTTCACCAAACCACTGCCCAAACATCGTTTCAGCTACTTCGGGCCAAGCTTGGTGTTACTGCTCATCCCACCACCAGCTTGAGAGGGGATGTACGACAACCAGGTTAATTAGCGATTCTCTAGTCTAAACCTAACAATTAACATGTACGTGTAAGAGAGCTGGAAGGATTGGTATATATACAATCCTTGTAGAACACAATTATCAAGCAGCCAAAAGGACTCCTCTGCATGTCAATCTGTATGTATATAGTCCAACATAGTAGCATGTAATGGACAAGAATTAGATATAGAAAAACACAAGTTACAGTGTCTTCTAATTCTTATTTTATTTACAAATTATATCTTGTTAAAATCCCCATAAGAGGAGAACGATTTCACAATAGAAAGCCAGTACATAAGAACAGCTAAAGGACGTACCAGCTTCCACTTTTTTTTTTTTTTTGTAAGGTAAAATACACAAGCAAAGGATGTACCATAGCCAATAAAGCCTCAAGTATTGTTCCAACTGTCCAAAAAGTTGAATAGATAACCATCCACATGCCCCTATTTCGAGAAGGCACGAATTCTAGAAACCAAGATCCATATACAGGCCCACCACCCAGACCGGTTCCAACCAGCATACGAAGAATGAGCAGTGATATATAGTTTGGAGAAAAGGAACTCAGAAATGCAGATACGGTTGTCACTATTGCCACAATCAGAAGACTTTTCCTGGTGATGGAAAATGAAAGTGTATAATCATCCATGACAACTTAAACCAAACAACAATTAAGCAATCTACAGACTCAAATATGATCATTCACAATTCACCCAATCTAAAAAGAAAAACACAAACATAAACTTTTTCAATAAATATTAAAAAAGGTTAAATAGGCTTGCCGTCTTCCATAGTTGTCAGCAAGAATTCCCCAAAAGTAAGCTCCAATAAGCATGCCAGCAAACACAACAGTAGTAATAAGAGTTTCTTGTGTAGAAGAAAGCCCCCATTGAGACTTAACAGCTGGTCCAATAAAAGAAAGAATCATAACTTCAACAGCATCCACCATTGATCCAAGACCCGCATAACACAACACCAAATACTGGAATTTGCCAAAACCCAGAGCTGTAAGAGCTTCGTCCAGTGTGTACACATGTTCATCTTCCTCCTCCACCTGCTGCTGTTGCGGTGCCATCTCCAGCCCGTCAATTTCGGGTCAATGAATAGATCGATGATTTGAAGCAAATTAACAGGTAAAATATGGGTTTTCTTCATAAATTTAGGATCTTGCCTCCATGTGAGCTGAAATAAACACAATTATACTTTTTCTCACCTCCTTTATCACATTAATCTTCTCTTCCTCACGTCTCTTTCTGTTCAAATCAGAGAAGGAGAAATCTGATCAACATAGTGTGGTAACAACTTGTGGGTGATAAAGACTTGTCGTTGGTTCAAAGTTTTGGCCACTTTGGTCCGTGAAAATAGAGCATGCGATTTTTTAACCAAACTAAGTCATTATATAAAATAATTTATCAAAGTAATATATTTTTCTAAAATTTTACAAAATTACTATAAATGTATTTCACGTTTTAGAGTATATTTTATTTTTAAAAAACTAACAGCATTAGGTTGATATACGTTACTGTAAGTAACGTTTTACTTTTAAAACGTTATTTTCAGTATCGTTTTACTCCTAAAACGTTACTGTGAGTAACGTTTTAGGAGTAAAATGTTACTGTGAGTAACGTATATCAATCTGACGCCATCGACTTTTAAAAAATAAAATATATCCTAAAACGTTACTGTGAAATACGTTTATACTAGTTTTGTAAAATTTTAGAAAAACATATTATTTTTGTGAATGACTTTATATAATGACTTACTTTGGTTAAAACCTCAATAAAAAGTGATGGCATATTATATTGAGATACTTAAAATTATGATCAAAATTTCAGGGACATATAAAATATACTAATGAAAAATATAGAATTCAAAAGATAAATGTCTTTACTTCTCACGTAGAACAAAACATGATAAAAGGAAAAGAGGGTCCATCGTAATGACAAGTAACAAACTTCAAATGTTACGAGAAGAATAAGATTACAAAGGTCTGGGCTCAAAACCTGCACAATTATAAAAGCAAGGGGTGAATACCAACAAAATGGTACTTAGAAAACAACCTAATAAATCTAGCTATAAATTCAATACCTCTTACACTCCAATCGAACCTTCTCAAACTGCAACCTGCACATAAATCAACCCAACCTAGCAATTTTATTATACATTGCTCACAAGACCCAATATCCACAATTCAATAGTCATAAACAACAATCAGTCGAATCAAGTAAGTTAACTTCAATGTCAAGTAGTTCGGTCACACACAACAAGCACATCAATCTCAAGTAGGGCTGGCAAGGGGATGGGGAAGGGGACTGGGGGACGGGGGACGGGACGGGACGGGGGACGGGGGACGGGGGACGGGGAGAGGGGATTTGATACGGGATCGGGATTAGGGGGACAAAAATAGGTCCCATCCTGTCCAACTATATATACGGGATCAAAGGGGGACTTTTTTTAAAAAAATTCTTATATATTTGTATTGAAATTATACGTCTTTAGCTAATAAATTTTAAATTTAATTTTTGATTTTCAAATATCAACATAAATTTTCAAATTTAAAGTTTCAATTTTAAAATTTCAAGATTTATGTTTCAAATTTCAAGTTTCAACTTTAAAGTTTTAAATTTCAAATTTGAGAAGTTTAAATTTGTAATTTAAAATATTTTAAAGTAATGTAAATTGTAAACTTTAAATTAAGTATTTAAAGTTAGTTTAGTACTTAAGTATATATTTAATTGTATATATTAAAATTAAAATGCAAAACAATAATTGTATAAAAAAAACTTGAACAAAAGTTAAAACCTTCAAATTTATTCAATAAAACTTAGAAGTTACAATGAACAAATATTAGTGGAGTAATTAATCTACGCAGCCACCTTCTAGGAAGGGTTCTATTTCAATAAGTTCTCATACGTAAAACTAATATTTGTTACAGATATTAGATGAGTAACTAATTTTACGCAGCCACCTTCTAGGAAGGGTTCTGTTTCAATTAGTTTTCGAATGTAATCTAAAAATATTTGTTTTCTCCATTAAAATTTAATTCTAATTGTCGCATCATATCGATGGTGATATCCTCCGGTGTTGGCAAACTTGCTAGAAATTCTTGTGCCTCTAATTCATCATCATTGCATTCAATTTGTGTTTTGCTCCAACTTGCTTGTTTTTTACTTAACTTTGGCAAATTGTTATTCCTTCTTTCAGCATTGCACCAGTCTCTAAATAAAACTGTTGTTTCCAAACTGTCTTCCGCCAATGAATGTCTATGATCACCAATTTGAAACCTTGCCGCACTGAAAGCAGTCTCTGATGCAACTGATGAAGCTTGAATAGCTAGAACATCACGAACCATTTTGCTCAAAGATGGAAATGCATCGCTTCACCTACTCCACCATCCTAATAAATCTTCATTGGCATCTTTGATTTCCAACAGTTTGTTGAAGCTCGTGGTTTGTTGAAAAATAAAATATAAATTTTATGAAACGAATGTACCAAACGTCTGCATTAATTGCAGACGTTAAACTGTTGTTGAAGCTTGTGGTTTGTTGTAACTTGTAATTTGAAACTCCAACCAATACTTGATAACAAATGTGAGATAATATAATTATATTTATTGATATAATATGAAATTTTCAAATTTCAAATTTAAATATATGAATTATAATAATATGAGAATTAAAATGGAATAGAAATTAAGATTGACACTTGAGAGTCGAGAGTTGAGAGGATATAGAAAATAGATGAGAGAAATGAGAATAGATGATTTTGTAAGAAATAGTAGGGGATAAGTCTATTTATAATATTAAAAACGGGTTAAAGTATAATTATTATAACCTGAGGGTTTAAAAAAAAATTTAAAAGTAGGGTGTGGTAGGGGATGTTTGGGAACACAAAAAGGGGCAAAAATCCGTTAGGAGGGGGGGGGGGCACTAGATGTTTCCCCAACGGATCAAAACGGTAAAAATTTTTAAAATTTTAAAAAAAAAAAAAAGAAGAGAGGATCCCGCGAATCGGCCGGTTCAATCGGGTCGGATCGACCGGGACGCAGGAGTGGGACCGGTCAAGTGAATCGGCCCCTGACCGGCCCCCTCATCCCCCACCCCTTAAACCCCCTAAACCCTAGGGGACGAGACGGGCTCGAATCGGGGCGGGGCAGGACGCGGGTCGGGGTGAGACATCCCGGTCCCCCTGCCACCCCTAATCTCAAGTAACAAGCAAGTCATACATAAGCAACAAATTCATCTAGTCATAATAATCAATCTCTTGCCGAAATCATTTCTCATCAGCACAATATCACTAGTTAGAACCATTTTCCATCGGCTTTATATTAAATCACTAGTTAAAATCATTTTTCATCGGCTTTATATCAAGTCATTAGGCAGAATCATTTCTCATTAGATTTATAAACACTTCCCGGAAATGACCTCGACATCACAACACTCGCCGACAAGGACTTCAACATCATAGCACTTGTCGGTAAAGATCTCGGTAACATAGAGCATCACATGTCTTATCAAAGTGCTCACAAACAATGCACACAAGCAATATCACACTACACGAAAGAGATAACAATCCACACGATTCAAATTCACATTCACACTTACAAGCATTTTATCAATCAATCAATAAGGGTGAGACAATTCACATCATCATGTTCAGCCTTTTTCATTTTAACCTTTCTTATTCATTTAGATGTATCAAGTGGACAATTAAAACCCTCACCTCATCCTCATTACTCCAAATACACAAGCAACGAAGGAGGTACACAAATCCTACTAGAATACAAGATTTAGGAGATCACTTGTCTTTGATCAGTCAATATTCACTCCAAAAGGTGAGTCATTTTTCCGAATCACTTCCAAACACACACAATATATACAGTATACACAAGCCATTATTCACAATAAATTTTCAAAAACAACAACACTCACATCAAATTTCTTTAAAAGTGGGTCAATCAACATAAAATTCAATTTCGAAAGGAAGATTTAAATCCAAAATTCAATACTTGAAAACATTACTCAAGGCTTTAAGAACTCTTTAGGAAAAATAATTTCGAAAAAAGGACTTAAAATCAATTCAAAACTCCATTTTAAGTAAGAACCTGAGTTCTTAAAAAACCTCATCATATTCACCAAATTAAAATCTCATATGTTGATTTAAAACCCATAAATAATCAAAGGAAAATGAGAGTTTAGGATTATAGAAGTTTACCCATTAGTAGAAGAAAACCTTTCTAAAATCGTCACCAGGAGTTCCTAATCTCAAAAATGAATAATGAGGCTTAAATCCTGAAAATGACAGGTCAAAACCCTCTTTAAGTCTCGCAAAAGCAATCAAAGGTTTGCTTGAGCGAACTCCGCCAAAATCTCCTACATCGAAAAAGGGAACGACCTTCACTAAAGTGAAGGTCGCTTTAGAGACAAGTCTGTTGCTTAAGCTGAGGTTGCTTAAGCGACAAGACCTTCACTAAAGCAAGGCCTGCAGCACTAGAAAACACAGCCAACTCTCCAAACATCAAAAGGACCCTCAAAATTTGTTTGGTGCCCAATAAACACAAATCACATGTGCATATCGGTTATGCTCAATGTTCCAAACTCAATGAAATTGTCAAATCACGAATCTGAAGTTCCTTAACGCGACATTCGTGAAAATCACAAGAACCTAACTCAATGCCCAATGTTCCAAACTCAATGAAATTGTCAAAACACGAATCTGAAGTTCCTTAACGCGACATTCGTGAAAATCACAAGAACCTAACTCAATGCCTAAAAGACTAAAACAAGCTAGGGAACTCTAAAAAAATTAACCGAGACCTTATCTAGGCCCAAAATCATTCTCTGAATCCAATCAAACTCTCAAAATTTTGGTTCGAGCATCCGAACCCCGAGTGACACCGAAAATCACTTTCTTAACAACTTAACCTTTCAAATTCAAAACTTATCAAATTCTCAATTTTTAACTCAAAGTTTAAAATCAATTTTTCAAAACTCAATCATAGAAATTTGAGGGTCAATCACGGAAGGGAAAAATGATAAATTGACTAAAATTTCCAAAATTGACTGAATGAATCATTTCATTACACTAGTCATAGTAAATGAAGTAATTGTGGTCGAGTTCAAAGGCTATTTTAGAATAATCTTTAAAATAAAAGATAAAAAATTATTTTTCTTTAGAAAAAAATTGTTAGTGTAATACTTAGAGTTTATTAGAATTTATATTATGATTTAAAATGTAGATGTCAGTTTTTGTTTGAAATATAACTTCATGCTTATTTTGTTATAATTTATGCTATTAAATATAAATTCGATCTTAGATGAAATT